CGCCAGGCCCCGGCCCGTGGGCTCCGAGCGACGTCGGGCTGCTCGCCCTGCCCGTTGCCCTCCTCGGGAGGTCCCCTGCACCCCGGGTGCCCCCTCGCCCTGGGGTGCCCCATGCAGGAGGCCTGGAGGGGGAGAAGGAGGGTTTGCAGCCCCATTGCTGCCGGGCTGAGTTGGGATGCTTCCTGCACGGGGAGAAGGGGCACAGTGTGGGCTGGGGGTGCAGCGTGTCCCCTCTCTGCCTGCCCCCCCAGGAGACGCGGGCCTTCCTGCAGCAGCTGCAGGGCTTCTTCGAGACCTACGTTGCCTGGGCCAAGAGCAGCGTGAGTGAGGAGGGGAGGAGGGCTGGGGGGACAGGCTGGGGAGGCTCCGGGGGGGGGCGCGGGGGCCTGGTCCCCAGCTCACGAGAGAGGTGGCTCGTTGCAAGCCTGTGGCTCGGACCCTGGACAGCGTGGAGGCCATGGCCTGCGACTACATCCTGGACTCTTTGGTGAGGGGGGCACTTGCCCATCTCCTCCGTGCAGGGTGCAGGGGGTGGCACCCAGGTCCCCTTGTCACCCTCGTGTGCAGGGCGAGGGGTACTGGGCAGGCAGGGCGCAGCGTTGCCTTGGCCCTGACGGCTCTACCTTATGCCCAGAACACCTTCTGGTTCAGCCTGGGCTGGTGCACCTTCCTCCTGCTGCCTGGCCTCATCCTCGCTGTGCGACTCGCCAAGTTTTACCGCCGGATGGACATCGCTGACGTCTACGAGTGAGGAGCTGCCTGCCCTCCGCGACCGTACACTGGGTCTAGGGTCCCCCTGCCAGCCCCTGCAAGCCCTCCTTGGGAGCCACCCCGGGGTGCAAAGGGAGCTCAGGTTGCTCAGGGCCTTCAGCTGGGTGCTGAAGACCTCCAAGCATGGGTCCCCTGCCGGACTCACTCTGGTTTGCAACCACCTTTTGCCCTGGGGAGCCCAAAGCAGATGCAGCTGGATGCTGCACAGATAAGGCAGCCCCGCGTGTGGTTGGCATCACTGCCACGAGGGTGCACTGCTCGCCCGCGTTCCCCATGGCTGCCCGGCCGGAGGGACCTTTGGGTCCCATTTCTCCCTCCTCCGGGGCCCTCCAACCAGCAAGCCCATCTCCAGCACAGCAGCCGCCCCCGAGGTGTCCCTATGCCTCCCACTGCCATCCCTCTGCTCCGAGATCACAGCCTCCCGTGACACAGGGTTTGCAGCACCTCCGTGCCCAGCGCAGCCCCAGCCAGCCTTCCTCCCCAAGCTTGCCCCGTTCCTCCTCCCTCTGCTCCTCTGCTTTCCCACACGCCTGTCCAGGAGCGCTGTTCCCACCTGGCAGCTGCCTGCAGGCCCAGCGCGCTCGGGGCTGCACGTGGTGCTTCCCGTCGCCTCCCAGGCTGTCCGTGCAGCAGCCTGCCCGAGCCCTCCCCAAGGCACGCACCCCTGGCCCTGGCAACTTTCACTTCCCCCTGCTATTGCCGTCCTGGCAGCTGAGCTGGCTGGAGACACAGACTGAGCGGACGGGGAAATCTGGGGGAACTGAAATCAGGCTGGAGGAGCTGGTGCCATCGAGCAAGCAAATGTACGCAGGGCCTTGCTGGGCTGGCTTGGAGCAGCGTTGCTCTCTGGACAGCCAAGTTCAGAGGGGCTGTAGGACCCTGTGGTCTGTGTCCTGCTGGGGCAGCCGGGGTGGAGGGGGCTGTAGCACCCTGCAGCCCTCGCATGTCCTGTGGGGAGAGCCCTGTCCCACGGGGTAATGCTGGGGTGGGCAGGGGCGGTGGGCTGTCTCAAGAGGCACGTTCTGTCCCACTGATGCTGTCCCCTCTTTTTCCTTTCCCTCAGGAGCGAAGTCTTAGAGATGTAAGTAGCAGTGGTGGGTCCCTGCGTGGGTCAGAGGGGCAGCTCCCACGGTGGGGGGGGGACTGGGTGCAAAGGGAAGGAGGGCGAGGAGAGGCACCGGGGGAGCGCAGGCCATGTGGGTGCCAGTACCAGTTCTGGGGCCCTCCCATCATCTCCCCACAACCCTCAGTTTGGGGGTGCTGCCCAGCACCTTGTTTCCTGCAGGGCTGGGCTGGAGCAATGGGATGGCATTTGACTTCCCCAGCACATCCTGGGCTGTCCCTTGCTCCCCGCTGTGGCAGGGGGGGTGACACAGGTGATCCTATTTTTGCAGGGCACCTGCACTGAACTCGTTCCAAATTCCCCGGGTGGCTGCAAGGAAGTAGCACCCACTGCCTGCAGCGTGGGCACGAAGGAGATTGGGTGGCCCAGGCTGGCTGCATGTGACTGCTCTGTCTGCTGCGCCGTCTCCCCTGGGTGCTGGGGAGCAGGCTGGGACCCCCCCAGCTGAAACCCCCTCCCCATTTCCCGGTAGGTGACAGCGTGCTGTGGCTGGGTGACAGGCTGGTGGCCCGTGCTGGGGCTCCCACAGCATCATGTGGCGTGCGCAAGTGCAATGCCCAGGTGCGTGCACGGCGGGGGTCTGCCCCTTGTGCTGCCCCAGGTGGGTTTTCACACCCCCTGTCACCGCCCTGGGGGGGGAGGAGGAAGAAGCCTCTCTCTCCCACCATGTCTTGTCCTAGCCACACAGTGTCATGTGTGCGGATGTGCTGTGCTGGGACAGCAGCCCTCATTGCCAGCTTCCCGCTGGGCCATGCAGGCCCAGGGTGGCACGTGCCACCAGCCAACGGCAACCTGCTTACTCAGGCCCCTTGCTCTACAGGCAATATGACTATTTATTTTTGAACGGAGCATGACTCTGTCCAATGCTGTGATTTTTTTGGTGTCAAAAAATAAATGATGTGTGTGTGTGTGTGCAGGAGGCATGCAGCGGCTCCTTCTGGACTCATAGGTGAAGGGCACGGGGGTATGGGCGAGGGGAAAGGGGTGCAGAGGGGCTGAGAGGCTCTGGGGCACGAAGGGACATGGTGACAGGTAGGCAGGTTGCAGGGGCAGTTTCCCCACTGCTGCATCTGTGTCTAGGCTTGAGGCTAGCGGCCTCGCATGCCCGTCCCTGCCTGCACCCTTGGTTCAATCTCGAGGCTCTGGACGCAGCGAGAGCGTTTGAAACCTGGGATCTGTGGGGGCTGCTGGGCAGATATTGTTGCTTTTCAGGATCTGGCTGCCCCGTTTGCAAAGAGCCTGCCGGAAAGGCTCTGCATGCCCAGGGACAAGGGGTGCCAGCTCTCTTGGCCCTGGCAGCATTGCAGAGGTGCCCCATCCCTGGGCTTTGTGGGGAGCCCTTGCTCCTCTGCAGCCTGTGCTCGGTGCAGTCTGTGCAGCTGGGGAAGGGCTTCCCCTCTCCAGGCAGCCCTGTGCGGGGCTGCACCTGCGGCTCAGGCTGTCCTGCGGTAGCATCCACTTCTTTTGGAGAGGGGCTGGGATGAGGCTGCTTGAAGCTGGCCCCCAAGAAGGTGCCAGCCATGCCTGGGTGTACACCAGCCTTGAGGAGGTCATCCCCTGGGGAAAGCCCTGCCAAGAGCCTGCTGCCCCCCCACACTGTCCCCAGCGCTCAGGTCCTTTCCTGCATGCCTGAGTGGCGTGAGCTGCAAGGTCTTATCGTCCCTCGAGACTGCCCAGGGTGGGGGTCGGACAGCGCAGGTTCAGAGCACCACAGGGTCATTTGCAAAAGCTCAGCTGGACACAGACAGCAAAACCTGTCAGGCGTAGGGCTACATGGCAAGCAGGGACAAGGTGCCAGGCTGGTGCCAGAACCAGCACCTGATTCACAGCACTGGTGAGGGTCTCGGGAGAGCTGTGCACACACAGCAGGCTTAGAGACTTTTCTGACATGCTGCCCTCCTGGACAACGGGCATCAGGGCAGTGGCCATAATGGCATCGCCTGGCTATGGCACCTGGGGCAGCCGCTGGGTGTGATGGGTGATGGTGGCACCAGGCAAGTGACGGTCTGCCCCTGCCCGACCCCACTGCCTGACTGTGAGAGAAGACTTCACCGCTGGACATGCTAGGACCAAGTGCCAGGACCCTCCAGGAACCCTGGATGCTCAGGTATGTGTGACCTGCCAGTTTCCAGTTAGCTCATGGGGTCCCCGCAGCCAGCACCTCCAGCTCTGTGCAGGCCATGGTCGCGTGAGAACTTTGTGGAGAAAAGCTCTCTTGCCGCAAAGGGAGCGCTAACCTGCCTGGCACCGCCAGGGCCTGGCAGAGGGACCCCACGGAGCCTGACTCGCCACACTCAGCATCACTGGGACCCGTTTAAAATGCCCAGAGAGCATAGGTGCTCTTGTGTTGACCCCTTGTGCAGGGTCAGCCCCTGAGAACTGCACGATGGCCACAGATGAGCCAAGGGCGAACGGCTGCTGCATTTGGTCTGGTCCCTATGGCTGGGGCGACTGCAGGCTTTGCTGTTGTGCAGCTCCTTGGCTTAAGCACTGTGGCCATCCCAAAGGCTAGGTCAGGCGCAGGAGGTGTACGTGAGCAGCTTGACTCATTTCCTTCGTTGTGAAGTCCAAGTCTTATCAGACCGAGTGATGAGGCTTAGCTGGCCAGCTTGCCCTCCGCTAAGTACATCTGCTTTACCACTTTTTCCATTTGCCTTCAGATCTTCTAATCTCTGTTTTTTCCTTTGGGAGTTATCTGAAGTTGCATTGGCCTTACCTCCTGCTATCTTCCCCCAGCACCCATCCTGACCACAAAGCCCCACGCTCTCCTATCGCCCAGCTGAATCTGAATCTGCCTATGGGGTAGCTCAGCCCCAGCTCCCCCCCCTCCCCCAGGGGTACCCTTCCTTCCCCTTCCTTGGGAAGGGATTCCCAAGCACCCCCTTGGATACTGTTTGGCTCAGTTTTGTCTCCACTTGCACCAAAGTCCCCCCTGCTCTGTTAACCCTTTGCTGTCATCTGTTCCCCCTCTCCTCCAACCTTGCAAGTTGTGATAGTGCTTTCAGCTTGTTCAGGTGCCCTGTGCAGAGGTCCCTATCCCTGAGCCCCACGCTGTCCCCGCCACAGACTGCCCTCCACTTCCTCATCACTTGTTGTGGCTTGGGGACATGGGCCTGTGGAGGACTGCCACAGGCTTCAGTTCCTGTTGCCTTGCTTTGCGGGCACAGCCTCCTTCTCTATCCTGCTCGGCTCCCTGCTTTCCTCTTCACTGGAGATTGAGTGCTTGAAGGCAGAGAGGGAGCTTCAAGGATTTCCTACACAGAGGCAGAAAGCCTCAGGGAATTGGCTTTTCCTCCCCACTTGACCCTCCCTGTTTGCTGCAGCCGCTCCGTTGAGTGCATCCAAACCCAGCCCTTGCAGTGAAAAATCTCCCCCCAAATTACTGCACGACCTTTGCAATGTATGGGGTTGCTCTAAGTGGCTGCCCATACAGCGCTGCCCATACAGCACTGCCCCAGGGCAGCTTCCCACTCCTTTCCCTGCTCTTTTCCCCTTCAGAGAGTGCTTGCCACTGTTACTGATCCTTTCAGCTCCTCCAGCGCCTGGGGCTGGGAGGTGGTGCTTGGGGTGGCAGCCTGGCCCTGGAGCTGTGGCTCTGAGAGTGGATTCGGCCCACCCTCCTCCCTCCTGACCGGCCCTGGGAGGCGGGTGAGAGCTGCTGCAGCGTCAGATAGGATCAGCAGCTGCTCCAGGAAGAGGAGATGACTGCTTATTGCAAAACACCCACCGCTGGGATGCTGTGAGCTCTCCTTTCGTGCCAGGCTCCCCTTGCTCACGTGAGAGGCAGCTGCAAGAATCCACTTCCTTTGCACAGCAGGGAAACCCACAGCACCACACAGCTGCAGCACAAGGCCCATCATAAGGAAGGTTTCATCAATAACCAGCCATCCCCTTGAGAACAGTCTCTGCAGTTCCTCTTCCTTTTTTCCAGAGTTTATTCCACCATAGGGGCTTTCTGCAGCCAAGCCCTTGTCTTGGGGCCTTGGGGAAGGCATTAGCACATCAACAGCAGTTTGACAGACCAGAAGCCCTCCAGCAGCAGCTCTGCCAGCATGTGCCCAGTGAAGCCAAGGCAGCAGCCTCCCACAGGGGCCAGCCCAATGCTCGCTGCTGCTCGTTTTCCAGCCAGAAGGAAAGGAACAAGATGCAGCTCTGGATAAAAAATCCTTCCCCGATAAAACCTTGGGGCTGGCCACAGCTCCCCTCAAAACAACATGCCCAGATGGTGCCAGAAAGGCCCAGTGGCTGCAAAGAGGAAAGGAGCAAAGCCCCTGACCATGCTGCACAGGTAGATCTCCTTGCTTCCAGCAATGTATGGGACTTTGACCCACTTTGCCAAACCGTGCACTGCCTAGGATCCCCCTTCCCTGTGGCACACACCATTCCCTGGAAATCAGGTTATTCGTGTGCCAGTGCAGAGTCCTCTATCCATAGCCCCTTGGTGGCAAGGGGCTGAGGGATGGAGCGGGAATGGGGCTGTGCTGTGCGGCTGGCTGGGCACAGGTGGATCTCCGAGCCCAGCATCTACAAGCAGTGAGTCACACCAGGCTGTACCACAGTATGCGAGTTTGGCCCCCATCCTTCACTAGAAGCAAAATGAAACTGCCCTCCACCCGATGGTCTGCATCCCCACAACATCCACCACTGCCCCAGCACTGCTTCAGGAACCTTTATTTTTAAAATGAGTGTATCAGCTGTACTTAACCTCCCTCAAGAGGACTAAGGCAGATAAACCTCCCCCATCCCATCCCAGCCAGGCTCTGCCAGCCTGGCAAGACAAGAAACAGCTCCTCTGGACAGCAGGTACCTTCACACCATGGCCTCATGCACACAGGCAAAGCCACAGCCAGGATGTCTCCCCCCGAGGAGGCAGGAGCAGGCAGTGGGCACTGGGGAGAGGCTGGAACCTGGATCTTCCCGCATGACTACTCTCAAGTTACACTGACTTTGCAAACAGAGGCACAATATGAGCCAGAAAACCCTGACAAAGCCCCTTTGTGTGCAAAGGGCAAAGGTAGAAGAGATGGCAACGGAGGGCCCAGGCGTCCTGCAGCACAATCTAAGCTTCCACAAAGGAAAGGGAGAGGCAGGGCCAGCCCCAAGCCTGAACAGGCTGCTGCCAGCTTCTCAGCTCAAAAGAGAGTTTGGGTACCAGCTGGGATAGAGAGATAAGGGAATTAGGCTGCTCTCTTCAGCTAAGTAGCTGCAATCAGTCACAGCTACAGGACTGATCCCAGAGGAACTGCAGCAAGACAGCACGCAGAGCGCTGCAGCTGCTGGCATGCATGTTGGAACTCCCAGCACCATGGAGCTGAACAAGGCTCCACACTGACATTTAGCAACTAACCAAGCCCAGAGCAGCGCAGGAGTGGGTGACCCCACTACAAAAAAAGCATGCTCAGTCCCTTAGAGACAGACCTTGGAGGCATCACCCCACCCAATGAGCAGGGAATTGGCAGGGAAGACTGTGCTTGTCTCTGCCCACCCCTCCACCACCACTCCTAAAGGATCAGGAAACAAGAAATGAAGTTATAAAGGAACTAAGCATATCGAACACAAGGTGCTTTGGGCCAAGAGAAGTTCTTAGTCCTGCAGTGCGGCCAGTGCTTTCATCTGCAAATGCACTAGCATTTCCTCCTCCACAGGGGCACACGCAATTGCACTTGCTGGACATAACCAGAAAGCCTGCCATGGCTACTCATGAGATAAGCCGCCTCGACCACCCCATGGACTGTCTGAGATGCTGCTACAGGGAGGCTCTCAAGAAGAGGAGGTTTCTGTCCTCCCAGGCAGGGCAGGATTTCCTGGGGTGCATGTGGCTTTCCCCTCCTTGTGCACCCAAGAGTTGGGATCCTGCTGTGCTTCCCTGCTTCATGCAGTGTCACCCTGTGCCAGTGCTGAGGGAGAGGAAGTCCTTGGCCCAGGTGGCTGAGGGGCATCATTGGCTGCTGCCTTTGGAAGGGTCCTGTGCTCTCGGGGTGGGGTGGGAGGGGGGAAGGTGGGGCTCTGCAGGGCATCCGAGTACATCTCGTCCTGGATGCAGGGACGCTGCACAACCCTTTGCAGTAGTGGTTTGAGCAAGCCCACGGTCAGCTGGCCCTCCTCACTTGAGAAGGGCACTGGATCCTTCTGGGAGACAGGCAAGTGCTGCAGGATGACAGTGAGGATGTCTGAGGCGGTCAGTTCAGGAGGACACAGAGGCCACAGCCTGTCCAGATACGGGTCCAGCTCCCGGTGCTGGGCAAACTCTGCCAGCAGTGTGGTGAATATCTCCTTGTTGAGCAAGGGGCTGAGCTTGGAGAACTTCTCTGCAACCTCTACCACCCGCTGCCACCGCTTGAGACGGATGAGAAGGTGCATAGCTTGCAGCACAGCCTTAGGCCTCTTGCTGCAGAGCAGCAGTTCTAGCTCCATCTCATCATCTGCCTCACTGCGCTTGTTCTTCCGGGCCAGGACTCCCAGTGCTCTCTTGTATAGTGGCACCCGGCCCTCTGGGCCCTCCTTGCTGCTGTATGCCCAAGAGATGCTAACATACTGCTGGGTCAGCTCCACAAAACTGGGCAGCCACTTGGGTTTGAACCTCAGGAAGGAGGTGCAGATGAGCTCAAAGAGCGGGATCACCCCATTCAGACCCACCTCCTCCTGCTGCGGCCCTCCCAGAACCTTCTTCCATACCTCTGGGGTGGCCCTGGCTACCAAATGGCCATCCCCATTCTGCTGCAACTGCAGGCAACCCCTCGTGGCCTTCCAGGCAGCCTTGGGGAAGGAGGTGAAGACAGAGTTCAGGTAGGCCAAGTTATCCTTGTCAATGTCGGAGTGGAGAACACGGCTGACCTCCTGCTCCACCAGCTCCTCACAATAGCTTTCTACCTCACTCTCTGGGGCGCCCACCACGCAGGTCTTGAGGAGCTCCAGGCTCAGGTAGCTCTGCAACTCCAGGCTCATTGTGTTCAAGAGCTTGGCATAAGTGTCTTGGAGGCCTCGGGCTGGCTTCTCCTTCTGACGGAGGCTGTGCTGCAGGATGGCAGCAAGGGCCACAGGAGCCTGGAACACACCACCTTTCTTCAACTTCTCCACTGTCAGCTTGGAGCTGCTGAGGCTCCTTCTCTGGTAGTATCTGCAGGCCTCCTCAAACACCATCTCCACCAGGCATGGCTCAGGCCTGCTGCTATCCTCAGGGACAGAGAAGCTGAAGCTGTAGATGCCAGTTTGAGTGAGGAGCTGGATGCTGTCCTCCTCTCCCGGGGACTCCAGGAAATGCACCTTTTTCATGCTAAGGATTTTCTTTTCTATGAGCCTTCCACTATTCTGGTCAATGAGATACAGGACCCCAGCCAGCACGCAGGCCAATGCGTTACCAAATGTCTTCAGCCGGACAAGATCTCCTTGGGTCAGGGGACCCCCCTCTAGATCAAAGATGTGCCTTTGTGTCCCATCTGGCTCTACCATGTTCACAGTGCCATGCGTGCTCACCAGCAGCAGCCCCCCATGGTTGGAGAGGGCAGAGGTGTGAATGTCCAGAGGTGCTACGGTTGAGAGAAGACCCACAAAGCCAAGTAGGAGCTTCCTGAAATCTGACTCATTGCTGGAGCGCAGCACCTTGCTGTGGATGAAGCCTGCAGGGGGGGCTGTGACAGTAAGCTTTGCCTCCTCGGGGTGCCAGATGAGCAGGAATTTGGAGATGGTAGCAAAGCTGGTAGAGGCAGGCACCAGGAAGATGTGCTGGGGGGAAGCCAGGAGCTGGTACTCAGGGCTGTTGTGCAAGACTATCCTCACAGCGCCGAGGTGCACGCTTTGCTCCCCCACTTCCAGAGCCCGGGTGCAGATGCAGAACCTGAAGGGGCACTTGCTCGTGTCCGAGTGGGCACCCAAGCGAGGCCTCTCCTCACACCACACCAGGCTGGCTCCCTGGCTGCACACGGAGATGATCCGTGCCCGGGCACCTTGGCACAGCTCA